TATGTTGCACCAACACGGAACATGAGATACGATATGACACGACACTCCGACACGTTAATTCTAAAAAATGTTAAATTTTGACACGTTAGGACACGTTTTAATATTATATAATATTTTTAATTTATGTAGTGTATATTATATTTAATATTCAATAATTTATTTACCAAAAAAAAATATATTCAATAATTTAACAACAAAATAAAGCTAAACTTATAATACCCATCATTTTTGCAAAGAAACATAAGATATCCCAAATATTTATATTAAACTCAATAAAATAGTAATCATAATCCAACGAATCTAATATTCGAAACTCAAAATGCAACGCTACGTAACATTTGAAACTTTTTTTGAGTCTTTGCAGCGAGTATTGGAGTGTCGTGAAGTGTCGGAGTGTCGGTGAGTGTCAAGAAGTGTCGGTGCTTCGTAGGCGATAGATGTACCACTAATTTGGTGAATGTAAATAATTAAAAAGTTAAAACCTATGATATAGTACATATAAATTTATACAGAAAAATATAATAATAAAAAAATCATATATAAGTACTATTTTTTGTTGTATTATCATTTTATTAATTGGGTTCGCTTTTTCTGCAGTTATTGCAGATAAGTTATCTGCAATAAGTCCAATACGACGTCGTTTTTGGCGGAAATTATAGTATTTTTGTAATTTTAATTTATTTCAGGGTTATTATATTCTTTATAATTATAATTTTCTAATCTTTTAATTCAAAATGACATTATTTTAGAAGTAAAGACAGATTATTTATCTTAGAAATATTTTTATGTTATTAATTATTATATTATCATGAAAACATAATGCTTTGAAGGTCAGAAGTCACTTTTCATGTCTCAATATCAAATTCTAAATAACAATGATATTAATATCAATACAAATTTGTCAATCGAGTAACGCTTCATGGTTCATGTCCTTTTTTTTTGTCTTCTATAATTATAATAAGTGTTATCTAAAGAAATTTAATTAAATGTTACAAGCCTGATATTGTATAACAGGGGTGTATTATATTGAGATTTCAAAGGATTTTAATGGATTATTTTTGGACAAAAAATTCATTGGTATTCGATTAGGATTTTAATGGATTGAAAAAAAGTCACGTGGTATTCGATTAGAATTTTAAAGGATTATTTTAGAATCCGTCCAAATCCGTTGGTATTCAATCAAGATTTTAAATAATGGAATCACAATCTCTTGGTATTCAAAAATCCGACGATTTTAATGGATTTTCTATTGGTGTGGATTTCGTGAGATTTTTTAGTGAAAAATATAAATATGATGTCTCTCTCACAATCTCACCCTAACCCCTAGGATTTCTTGAGATTCTTCTATTGCAGTGTTTTCTTCTTCTTTTGGCAGGTTGACTGGTCGAAATTGGGTTCCGCCATGGGAGCTTCGTCAAAACAAAAAAAGAGAGAGCATATTTTTGAGCGATTTTCATCACGAAACAACCCAGAAACAACAAACCAACGAGATTTTAATATAATCTATCTCAAAAATAACATATTTTTGAGCCATTTTTGAGAAATCTTGGAAGTTTAAAAAGTGATTTTTCAAGCAATGGGTCTTGGCTATTCTTGGCACAAAAACGTGTGATTTTTGTATGAAAAACAACATAAAACAGTGAAAAAATAACAGGAAAACTAAAACCCTCAAACCAATTTTCATTTTACATCAATGAAACAATACCAATTTAAATAAAGATTGAAACTTTCATAATATGAACCCTATATTTCGTAACAATACATTCATGAACGAAATTCCTTCACTATAGGAAATGATTTCAAACAATTTTTGTGTCAATAGATAACTAAAAGCTTGTTTCTCAAAAGCCCCAAAGCAATTTAAGGTTTCAATGTATCGATTGAAAAAATTTTGAGAATTTTTCTAAACTTTCATGTAATTGAACCCAAAATTTCATATTTGAAATTTTCTTATAATATTCAATGAAAATATGAATCTGAGATATGGTTAGAAAATTCTCATCACGTAAAACAAAAACCCCAAGCTTTTCAAGATCAATTGCAAAAAATTTCAAACGAAATTTTATCATGAACTTTAGGTTCTATATGCAAATTTAGAATTATTTTTATAATTAAAAAAAAATCGGTCTTATAATCATATATGCATAACTTTAATATCAAATGAAGAAGATAATTTTCAACCCATTAGATATGTGAAAAGCTGTTGTTTAGTAATTTTGAAAGTTTGTTAAAAATTATATTATGTTTTACTGATTAAGAAAATTATGGTTTTACTTTTTTTTTATTAATTTCATTGCATTTCTTTGTTATTTTTTTATGGGGAAGATTATACTTACAACCTATTTTTGTTTACAACATTTTACAACCATATCTTAATTGTTGATTTCCATCAATCAATCGTTATTATTTTCGCAAATCAAACTCATTAATTAATATTTAATTTGTAATGAATGAGAACCGTTGATTGACGAAAATCAACTATCAAGATATGGTTGTAAAATGTTGTAAACAAAAATAGGTTGTAAGTATAACCTTTCACTTTTGTATTTACTCTTGTAATTTTGAATTTTTGTTAAAAATTCATATGATTTTTTAAAATCTTATAAATCCACATTGTCCTTTCAAATCTTATAAATTCTATTAAAATTATTTAAAATTCAATCTTATGAAACCTTGATTGTAAAAAAAGTCTGTAAAGTCTCTCCAATTCTAAATAGTCTTTTTAAATCTATAAGATTTTTTAGCTCAATTTTAATTTTAAAATCCTAATCCAATACACCCCCTAAAACAACTCAAAGTTCAACTTCTGTAGAGTGTTTTTGAGATCAAAATTTTCCTTTAACAGAGAATGATTTCAAGTGTCGCTCAATTATTGTTATACAAAGAATTGAAGTTTCCTTGTTTATGCTAACAAGTAAATAACTTGTTTCATTGATTGATACCTCATCAGAATCCTGCCAGCAATGGTGTGCAAATCAAATATTAATAGGAAAAAGTGTTTTAAATGACACAACTTATATTCTTTCACTCTCACAAAGAGGCGGGATCCACATCTTTATTTTTTTTTTGTCAACTCTCTCTCCTCCTTTATCTATCTTTTTTTCTCTCTTAAAATGACATAACTTTCTATCCTTTAAAATGACAAACATTTTTCCCATATTAATATTAGTTAGTAGCATGTGCAATGCACTGTTTCTTAATTTAAATGTGAATTTAAGGTATAAATACTTATTGGTTTAAGTATAAGATATACTTAATATCATTTGTATATAAAAAAAATTGCTTTCTCGAAAATGATGGGTTTAATTTAGAGGGTATAGTGTAGATTTATATAATATCTGTAAATTGAAAGAATTAAGATCGAGATAAAATACATGCAATCATATAACAGACTATAGTGTTGTTAAAATCTACACAGGAATCAAATCTAAAAAGAAATAAAGAATTCATAAGGGAAAATAAAAAATTGCAGGAAATTACAAAAAGAAGAAGAAAGAAAATAAGTGTTTTTCAATGATAAAGTTGTTGTAGATGTGCAGAATCGTAAAGACAATAAGACTGTTGAGGTTTAGAATTCAACAAACTATATTATGGTTCTTGGTTTCATATAAGTTTACCTTTTGTGCTTGGTGATTCATTTTGTTCAGTGGTGTGATGACTAGTACTTGCTACTGCCGAATCTTCTCACTCCACAATGAAGTATTCTTCGTGTTATTGCACAATCAAGTCTCCAAAGAAGGGTTCAGAAGGATGATAGTATTTTCCAGACTATTCTCAATGGGGAGAGCAAGAAGTGTGTATAGGCAAGGGGCACTCTAGGATTTCATTTCTCAGATCAGATTTGTCATCAACAACATCGGAGGCTGATGACTAAAATGTGACTATTAACATGAGCATTAAGAAATTCTAGCCATAAGCCTCTTGGATTATTCTCATAAACAAAGGATAATTGAGCTTTGGTAAAAGAGCATCAATTCAACAAAAATCATTTGTAAGATTAAAAGAAAAAAGTTACGACATTATCTCATAATAGTAAAGATTTTACTTTCTTATACTAAGATAAATTATTAACTTTTGAGTATTTATTTTAGAAAAATAAACTAACAGAGGATGAATTGCAGGTGACTGACACATTATCTAATTGGCTAAAATATAAAACCATATATCTACTCGTAATTTAATGCAATTAAATGACTCATTCTTAGTGATTCTACACCACCTTTCCAGCCCCTTGTTTTGCTAGTTTCCTGTTTCTCTATGGTATACTAAATGTTGAAACTGCCTATTATGGCACAGAAAATCCTATGTTTCCTTTATTACTAGTAAGACAAGATATATGTTAATTGGAAACAATAGCCAATTCAACCACTGCATTAGTTAGCTTTTTATATGTGACATTTGCTCTGAAAAAACTGCTATGTAATTGACAACACACCAAAATCAATCTAACAAATATTTTGAACATTGAATCCCTTTTTGTCCAATGAGAACTTGGGGAAACCAATGTATCATCACTTGGTTTAAGGGACACATTTGATTCTAATACTTCATTCCACATCATCATTTAAAACCCATCATGATACTAGTGAAAAGCAATTATTAGATAGAGTTGTTTTTAGGTACAAATAAAATAAATCCATCAGCCAAATTAATAACCAAAAACAAGAAGAATACAGTTTTGTAAACCTAAACCTGTTTTAGAGTTCATATTTTAGGTCCAGAGTATAGTTATTTTTCCCAAAGTGCTATAGTTTAATGGTTATGATTCAATTTTTCTGTGCTCACTGCAGCAACCTTCCTCTTTGTTTTCAAAAAACCATGTGCCTGTTGCATCTAATTACAAGGGGCATACACGTAATCACTGCCATAAATTTTATGGCAGTAGATATATACTTTTAGAAGCTAATTAACGTGGCTTTGCTTACCCTTTAAATGTTTGTGTAGCTTCATTATTTCAAGGCAATAAATTTAGAGCATTTTTCTTATCTTCTCAATTCAAAATGCCTATTCTCTATACTTCTCCAACTATGACCAAGTGGTTTTCTGGTATGATGGGAGCAACAATAAGGTGTAAGGAAGCTTTTTCTTTGTGGGTTTTGGCTGGCAATGGCGGTTATGCAGTTGGGCTATTCATAAAAGCTATTGAGAGAGTTATTTTTGCTGAATTTACTTGCATTCTTGCACTAGGTATGTTCAATTCCTCTCTTCTCTCTTATAGTAACACTTTCATGGATTTGGCTTTGTCCAGAGAAATTACTAATTGAGAGCACAGTTGCTAACAAAATCATTGTTACATTTCATAGTTTAGGCATTGAAGTTGAGGTATAAGTCAAACATACGGTTATATATAATAGCTGGCTGAGCTAAAACCTGAGAAGACCAATATGAAGAAAAGAGGGATGGAATAAGATAAATTAGTGTTTGGCATTAACCCTTACAGCTTTACTTTGTTAAAACATTGGAAATGAGTTGCATACGGTGTTATAAGTAATGTTTGATCTTGGCACAGGAGGGTCCATAATGGGAATAATTGCAGGAGCCATCAAAGGCCAGACCACAGAAGGTGGTTTTCTTGATGGGGCTGGCAAAGGAGCTGTCACAGGGGCCATTGCAGCACTAGAATTGCTAAACTTTGCTACTGTTGATGAGCCACTGTCCAAGGTAATACTACAAGTTCTATGCTTTGGCAAATGGATAATCACTTCCCATTAAATCCCAGCCGGCGATGGCAAAGGCGAGAACAATCCTTATACACAACTTTATTCTTGTATATTTACAAAGAAGTTGTTTTCTTAATTTGATTGAAAAAACAACTTTACCATTGTGTTAGGCTTGTCCTCATACTTTGACAATATCATAGATTCATATTATTAATTTCAAGTAGCCAAAAGCTAGCTCTAGTTCTATCTTTTTTTGGTATATCGACCTTAATTATTTCTGAGTCAAGTTGACTCCAGGTATTCTTATAAATTTCAACTCTTTGAGCTTACTAAAGGACTAATCTCGAGTCGTGCCTTATTCACAGTCTTATTTTACATTTGTACTATTAGTCAGTAGTCCAAATCCAAGGGTTCTGCTCTCGTTTAGTAGGTTCTACTTCTATATATTACTGATTCAAGAGTTAGGTCCCAGGTCAAGTTACAGTTTCATTAGGTATAATATTACTCTTCATTTCTTCTAAACTCTTAAATTTGGTGTTGATTTGCAGGTTGCCCTGTTGAGGAGTTTATTAAATGGGAAGCTATTTATGGAATGGATATGTCCAGCTGTTGCACAAGCCTATGAGTGTCATGTAAAGATAAATATAATTTTTTATATAAATGTGAAATCTGTGTCCTGTAAATGTATACAAATTTGATGAATCATTTGTTTCAGATTAACACACAGGAAAGAACTTACATAGAAGTATCAGATACTTATGACGTTAGGGGAGTCAGAGTCACAGCGATGCCCCAGAATTTTATTCAAAAGCTTCCTGTTCAGAAATTCAACTATAGCAAAATGTTGAAATTATACCATGAATCATGCTGCTCAATTTGCTTCCAGGTGAGAAAAATCTCTGAGCCCTTTGAAAATGCATAGGTTCAAGAACCAAAAGCAAGTAGAACTTGTTTTTAGGTAACCAATTGAACAATGCATATAACACTTTTGTCATAAAACTAAATTAACACCATCTTCTTCACATTATTTTGTGCAGGATTTTGAGGATGGAGAATTTGTCAGGATACTCCCAAAATGTGGCCACTTCTTTCACTTGGACTGCATAGATAAATGGCTAGTCCAACAAGGATCATGCCCCATGTGTAGAACTTATGTTCCACATTTATGAATGTATGGCTTGAGTTTGAGTCGGAGTTGGAGTTATTGTTGATATTTCGTAAACAAATTGTACATATACTTTACTAATGCTAGCACTTGTCCATAATATATTATCTATTACATAATATAAACTTCTTCTTTTTTTATAATTTCCATGTGACATTTTTAAAAAAACTTTCATTTTTAATTCTTATTAATCATAACTTTATTTTGTTTTTAACTTTTTGCTGCGCTTTGCATATCTTTGTCGATGTTTGTACAAGATGCACAGAGACTTTTATATATATATAAATGGAAATATAAGAATCATGTTGCAGGAATGACACTGTTCATTCCTGCAACAAGGATACGGCGTCGTATCCTAAGGATACGGCGTCGTATCCTGATTTTGGTTTGACTTTTTTTTTTTAAGCGTGGGACTCACACTTGATTTGTGTGTGTAGGAAAGTGCTCTTGTCATGTCAAATGACAAAAAGGGAACCCATATATAAATCATTTTTTTAGCTTAGTATATGATATTCTTAATGAAAATTTATTGAAATATAATTAATATTCTTATTTTATTATAAGAATGTTTAAATTGATCTATTTTGTATTTTTTATCCTAAAATTATATGTAAAAAATTATCATTAAAAATATGATTAAAACAAAAAAATTAATATAAAAATGGAATGAATATTTTATTAATAAAAGAAAAAAATCATAATTATAGATATCTAATTTAAACAACTCGCCTAATATACAAATACGATAACTATCAATTCGGGCTAGCCTAACCTAGTTATTTTGGCCCTATTGGCCGCAAAGAGCGGCCCAAGCATAGTTAAAATTGATAAACTGATTCGCCCTATCTGACCTTATCCAAGCTTTTAGTTTTTCAGACTGGTTTGTCGGCCATAATTATTAATGCAGATAAGTTATCTGCATTAAGTTTAATATGACATCGTTTAGGGTGAAATCATAATTTTTTTTGTAATTTTAATTTATTTCAGGATTATTATATGGGTTCGCTTTTTCTACAGTTACTGCAGATAAGTTATTTACAATAAGCCCAATACGACGTTGTTCTGGGCAGAAATCGTGTTGTTTTTGAAATTTTAATTTATTTCAGGATTATAATAGTTTTTATATTTATAATTTTTAAGATTTCAATACCAAAACAATGTCGTTTTGGGAATAAATACAGATAACTTATCTGCATTAACTGTAGATATATTTTTCTCTTATTATATCTTTATTATTATAATTTTCTAATCTTTCAATCTCAAAACGACGTCGTTTTGAAAGTAAATACAGATAACTTACCTGCATTAACTGCAGAAATATTTTTCTGTTATATTTATATTATTAGACCTTAAAAATGTTAATTTTTAAAAATTTATTTAAGTACATTTTATTGAAACATACTTAATTATTTATCAAACATTTAAAATTAATTATTACTGATAATATTAAAAAAATTAAAATAAACATTTAGATACATTGTAAATAATATAATAAGTATATTTAAACCCTAAATTATAAATATTAAATCTTAAACCCTAATCTCAAATCAGACTGCACTAATTTAACTTTTATTTTATTAATCAAGTCCCCATTTTTTACGAGATTATTCGGGTTGGTTGTTGGAGTCTTAGATTCAATCCATTTCTGATATAATTATTTATTTATCGTGCGTGCGGGTGTAAATGAATTGAAACAAGTTAGACTTTAATCTAAATAGATTAGATTTATTATGTAAAATATTTTAAGTCTAGTATGGTTTATTAGTCTCATATAAATTAAATTATAGGTCAGACTAAACATGTATTTAAAAAAAATCAAAAGACCTAAACTAGATTTATTAACCTATTTATGTATATAGTCTTTGATACCTATAAAGATATAGAAAAAATAAATGAAATAATTTATTAACTAAAATATATAAATAATTTATTTAATTTATTTTAAGTGAAATAAATAATTAGATTAGGCTCCTAGGAACCACCGACACTTCAAAAACCTTGACGTGTCGTGTCCGACACTTCTCGACATTCTCCGACACTTCGACACTCTAACACATGTTATAGAAATTTAAAAAAAATTCAAAAGTTGCATTGCGTTGAGTTTTTAGTTTCAATTATTAGATTCGTTGAATTTTGATTACCATTTTATTGAGTTTAATATAAATATTTGGGATGTCTTATGTTTCTTTGCAAAATTGATGAATATTATAAGTTTAGTTTTATATTTTTGTTAAATTATTGAATATTAAATATAATATACACTATATAAATTAAAATTATTATTTAATATCAAAACGTATCTTAACGTATCAAAATCTAACATTTTTTAGAATTAACGTGTCGGAGTGTCGTGTCACGTGTTCCGTGTCAGTATCGGTGCTACATAGTTAGCCTCTAAACTTATAGGCTTATGGGCTTTTTTTCAAACATGTCATTTTTAACTAAGTCTTATTAAATATACTAAGTCATAAATGATCTGCTGTCGGCCCCTAATAAACCACTTGATTCATTTACACTTTTAATTGTCGCTATTGCAAAATGCAATCGGGTTTAATAACAATTTTTCTCCAACAATATTTACTAAATATTTGACAAGAAATTTTACCGTTGGTAAACTACGTTATACCTTGAAAATGTCTTTATACTATGGGCTTATCATCTCTGCAGTCGCCGTAGATAACACTCTCTACAGCTGACACAGAAAAGTAGACCCCACGGTGTTTTAAAAAAAAAAACAAAACAAAGATCCAGTGCTGTATCCTAAGATCCACACGCGGATCTGGCTTTTTGCCTTATATTATTGGCAAATGGTAATTGGTAGGTTGGTTGAGCCTATTTTTATTTTAAAAATTACACTGATATAATTTATTTTACGTATTTCTCTTATATTTTAATAATTTTATATAAAAAAATAGCATACTTTCTATATAAGCTCTAGATAATTTAAAAAAAAAAAAAAGAATATAAAAGGTAAATGTATCGTTGGATCAAACTCAAACCTTATCAGATGTTTCATCACATTGGTTTCTAAATTTTAACAATTCTGGCTTTTTATTAGAGCTTCTAGGAGGATTTTGTGTAACTGAGAATAGAGGACATTGGTATTCTTGTTCCCTTGGGATTTTTTATTGGAGTTATCTGGTGGTAAGAAATTTTACAGACATAGCCTTGCATTGTGTCGTTAGTTGTTACCTCTTGTTTCTTTGATACAACTTGTGTTTGAATTGTGTAATTGTTTATTATTGCCATTTGGGACAACCAATATCTCACTTTTTGTTGACCTTGAAGAATTTGGCTGAGCTCTAAAATTGGATCCATGCTATTACCAAAAGGATAATAAAATTCTCTACCAAATTTTTAACACAATTACATATTTAAAACTCAAACTCAATATTTTTTTTTTTTTTTTTTTTTTTTTTTTAGAAAAACAAGGAAAGTAAAACGAAAACCCTACTCACGGATTAATCTGGGGTAGCAACTCCCCTAAAGTCCCTGTCTAAAAGCTCCAAACATCCTGCGAAGGAGCATCCAAAATGTGAGTCTCCCAATCATCAACTATTGCATGGGAAGCCAACCAATCCTCCTCAGAGTTTCCTTCTCTGTAGGTATGAGTAATTCTAACTATCCAGTCTCTCTCTATAAGCTCATGAACCCGTCGAACGATGGTTACAAAGCCCTGGTGCATGTCCTGAGAGTTCGTAATAAAATTAATAGCCACGGTGGAGTCCCCTTCAAGCCACACTCTTCTATAACCTTTATCCCATCTACCTGTAGACCATGGAGCATTTCCCCATGAAAGGTATCAAAGCTATGATGAAAAAAAAATGAAAGATGAGAAAGAGAAAACGTGAAATGAATAAGCTCAGAGAAAAATGTATATTGAATAATGAACTGTAGTACATTTAGAGTAAAACTTTAGTCTTATATATACTAAGATTGGATAAGATTAGCTACACATATGTAACTGAATAACTAAGAGTTTTTAGAGTTGAATAAGAGAATTGGATCTGTAACTGAATCCATTGGGCCTCTATGGCTATCATCCCCCCGCAAGTTGAGTGGGCTTGAATTCTAAGACCCGAAGCTTGGATTTGAAAATTAGAAATTGGGTTGTGGCCACTGCTTTAGTGAGTCCATCAGCAATTTGCTCCAACACTGGGACATGGTGAACTGAGACACCTTTTAAGACAACCTTCTCCCTAATGAAATAGAGATCCAGCTTAAAGTGTTTGGTGCGTGAGTGGAAAATGGGATTTGTGGTGAGGAGCACGACGAAGAGATTGTCACAGTAGATGGCAGGTGGACTTGGTACTTTGACATGAAGCTCAGAAAGCAGAGATTGGATCCAGGTGATTTCAGCAACGGTGGCTCCAAGACAACTATACTCTGCCTCGGTACTAGAGCGACTTACGACATGTTATTTCTTGGAGGACCAGGTGACCAAATTAGACTCGAAGAAGATGCAAAAACCACTTGTGGATTGGCAATCATCCGGATATGAACCCCAATTGGAGTCACAATATGCAACAAGATGGAAATTGTTTGAGGGTTCCACTGTTAAGCCATGGGTCACAGTACCATTGAGGTAGTGTAGTATATGTTTTACTGCTTTCCAGTGTGTCTCCAACGGGTTATGCATAAACTGACAAACTTTGTTGACACTATAGGCTATGTCTAGTCTTGTGATTGTGGCATACTGGAGAGCTCCAACAATGGAGCAATATTGAGCTGGATCAGGGTGTGGGGATCCCTCATGAGATGATAGTTTAGGACTGGATGTCATGGGTGAAGGCATAAACTTGCAGTCAACCATGTTAGCTTTCTTCAAGAGGTCTGAGATATACTTAGATTGATTTAGATGTTAGCCACCAGATTTTGTTTTGTGAGCTTCGATTCCTAAGAAGTAATGTAGTTGTCCAAGATCCTTGAGAGCAAAAGTGTTGTTAGAGAGTAAATTAAAGATGTGATGGCTGAAGAGGAAGAGCTAGTGATGAGTATATCATC